AGCTAGCCACCAACTTCAGATTTTTATCGTCTAAAACATTTTCAGCAACATATAATGATCAACATGCTTAGCTTGTTATGAAATAGAGAAAAAAAGTGTTCTTCATCCAGGGTAATGTTAGTCACAATCAGTACTTTCTTTACTGCACGTCTGTTTATTCTTGTTTAAAACAGTATACAATTTTGTAATGCATGCAGATTTTTCTTGAAATGTTGACTAGTGCAAAGGTAGATCAAAATAGGAAAGAATGCCATTCTGAAGTCACTGTAATCTTTCTGCTCAAGAAACAAACAAGGCAATATTCCCTTTTTGCTCTATTGTATTACATCTCTACAGGTTAATTATATAATTTCAGCCACTGGATAGGTCAAAAAGACAAAACACTCATCATACAGGTCACACAAATGTTACTGGCAGAAGTTCTTCAAGACAGGTTGGCTTTCAATTTGGACAAAAGCATTTCATTTCGGCGGAATTCCTGTTGACACAAACAGATGGGGAGTTTTAATCATCAAACAAGGACATGTCTAGGGTAAACAGTACGGCACGAATCAGCTGCCTCTCCCCCACAAATTGTGCAGAATGTCATAACAAGAAAATAAAACAATAGGAAACAGCTGATAGACTGTTTAGGTTGCCCAGTTCACTGGGGCATCTGTTGGAAAGTAGGTGGAATTAGACCGCACCTTAAAAATAAAGTGAATACCTGAAAAGGAGCCCTATCTATTTCTTCTTCAGCTGGTTAGCCTTCAGTTACATCAGTTCAGTCTGTTACAATTCCACCCAGGCCAATGGAGGAATTGGCAACATGTTATTGTGCATGACGAATCACTACAGTAATTTATTCAACAACGCTGCGAAGTACACCAATATTATCATCCACATACTGCAAATGGAGACCAAAGATGAGACAGGATGGCCTATCTAAAACCCACCAAGTCTGTGGCTGAGTTGAACCAACATCCTGACAGATTATAGCTCACTTTGTCAGCCATGCTACTACACCAGCTCAGATTTTTCTATATAAGCTCTACCACTACTGTAGCTATATTCTCTCTTACCTCTTTAAATTCTTTCACTGTTTTGAAGTAAAGCCTCTGTTTCTCTAGCAGCTCCAGGTATTCATCGTTTAACTGGTCTCGTCTCATTTTGTTTTCTTGTTTCTTCTTCTCCATCTGTTGATAATGATGGTAAAGGACTAAGGTACTATGTAATGCATGGCATCTAAACAAGGTCTTCCAGCAGACACTAAATCTTTCGAGAAAGGGCAGTCTCATATTGCCACAGATCCCTACTCCTTCAGATAGGAGAAATACGGTGGTACCTATATATCAGAACAGCAAACAAGAACAGAAACAAAGGAAGCACCAGCTTCTACTGTACTGAGGAACAGAGGCTTAGTTGTATGTAAAGCTAGCTTGTTCAAATTTAAGCACTCCTGCAACAATGGTCCTTTTGGCCAGGATATGCCAGGATGACTTATTTTCAAATTGAAAACATACCATACATTCTTCAGTGTAGCAGGCTCAAAAGATAGAAAGAACAGATCTGTAGGAGTATTAACAGACACTTCAAGGTAGCAAGCTTTTCTCATATTTCTTTGCTTTTAATGTGCTGCCAACTGAAGAAGCAATTAATTGAAGCTCAAGATTTACTTTAAGCAAGAGGCAAATCTGTATTTGGATACAAGATGCTCTGGGCAGAGCAAAAATAGGCATCCATCAAGACTAGGGTTGTTGCCACGCTAGCTGTTAAGTTTGGGAAACACGTCGTGGGGAATCCATATGACACTGCCAATATATACCTATCGCTCAGTTGATTTGCACCGCCTAACTACTACTACTAAAGTTTCCAAAAAATGCCAAACTTCTGCAGAGGAAAAATAATCTGACCTTCATTCGATTCTGCTTAATTCCCTCTACAATCTGTTCCATCTGCCGCAAAAACTGCTCTCGAGCACTGGAAGAAGCCATGGCTCTGAAAGACAAATGGGCAGCAACAGGAGAGAAGTTAGACAATGGAGTGAGCTGCACCCTCCATGCTTTAGGCTGCATGGATGATTTTCAAAATGTATCTTGCAAAAAAGGCTGGACCTTCCAAATGCACTTTATTGTCACAGAGTAGACCAAGTGGTCATATTGTGCTACAGACAAGTAAGTCCGTAAGAGCTTTTTTTCTGGAAGGAAAAGGAGGACTACTTACTGTTGGAAATTGTCATGAATTGAATTCAGCAAGTTAACCTGGTGAAGACAAAATGATTGCAAAGCTTTCATGTCAAAAGTTTCCTTAAAATCTAATCTAGGAAATGCAAGCAATAGAATTGGATTAGCAGTTGTTATCTACTTATTTTTACACAATATTGTATAAAGTTCTCATCGCTAGTTTGTTTAGCACTTGATGGCTTATTCACACATGAATTTTCTCTCGAAAGTACTTTCAGTTACCAAGTGGTGGTTATGTATGTATAAGAGATGTGCTCCCTAACACTGCTAGCCTATTCACCGCGTTATGCAAAATGTGTTGGCAAGAAATTTGGAAACCTGCACATAAGAAATCAGACATTGGGAACATCCTTTTTGAAACTAACCCAGAGAAGTACTGTATAGCACTACTCGTGAAGCACTGGCTAAGTTTATAAATAAATTATATACATCCTAATCAATTATGCACCCATTAAATTCTTTTTCTTTTGCCATACAATGCATGTGTATGTTTGGATCAGTATAATCATTAAGAGGTGTTCGCTCTTTTATTGAAATGGCTTGGAACAAATCAAGATAGCGGCAATAAAAAAATTAAAAATCAATGTGAGTGCTACTTGGATGTAGCCTTGCCATTTGCACACTTCAGGTGGGTAACCCCTGCTGACCCAGCCCTCCCACTTGCCCTTGTGTCCAGGTTGGCAGGAGAACTGGCATCATATCTGGATTTCTCTTGCCCTGCCCCCTGAACCTCATGGGGGTGCCGTGCAGCACCGCCTAATTCTGCAATTATTTTCAACTAAATAGATTCAGAGCACTATCTTCTCAACAGAAGGAAAAAGTCATGCATATTCAACTTTACTGCAGTTATAAAAATAACAGTTCTCTCATCAAAGAACATCCTCAGGTTTACATCTGGTGTTGCTCTCATCTCATGTAGCAAGAGAGACAATCCACAAAAACTCAACTGCAGAGAGAGAGAAACTATATGGTCTCCATGCTAAACTGTCACGTGACTCATTTATGGCACATGACTCCGAAGAGTTTTGTTCTTCAAAGGCCTCGCAAAGGGATGCCAGCTTAACGTTTTAAATAAAGCTGAGTTTCCCCGAATGTGATCCTCTGTCAGGGCCAGCATTGGCATACCCTGAAGCAGCTGCAGGG